GTAGTCTCTCTACACCAAGCTCCTTTGTGTTGCCTAGCCCTGGTCTACACTAAGGAGTTATTATGAAATAACTCCCCTTATTTTGAAATAACAAGTGGATCATCCACACTACCAAGCCCATTATTTTGAAATAAGGATTTGGTTATTTTGAAATGATAATTTCTGCTTTCCAGGATGAATAACACTTATTTTGAAATAGTTATTTTGAAATAACATTAGTGTGGATGCTTCACTGCTGCTATTTCAAAATAACTACTCCCTAGAGTCATTTAAAATTAATACTCCTTAGTGCTTCCTAGGGCTCTAAGTTGAGGTAGCACTTCAAGGCTTACCTGTAGTATGGACACACTATTTCAAAATAGTTATTTTGGGAGTTATTATTTTGAAATAAGTTATTTTGAAATAATGTCTTCGTGTAGACTCATCCTTACAGAAAAATGGTATTGACAGGGTGCTAGTAGACACCCACAAAAGACACCTACAACACCCAATAAAATGTTGAATTGTAATATATAATCATTTGGGCATAAAAAGACATGTATCTTAGGTTCACTGGTATTTGAACCACTCTCAACACTTTGAGTGCACTTTAAAACAAAGCCTGCCCTTACTCCCTGTGCATGCTTAAGCATGCATGTTAAAAACTTTATGTAGAAAGCAATTACACAGAAGTAGGAAAATGGTAGACAATAAATTACATGATGATCTCTTGGGCCTTGAAACAATGAATGCAATATGTGCTGCTGGTACAACTTTCCTGCCTCTTCCAGCCTCTTAGAAGATATATTAGCATCTTATATGATATGAGCATATTTGTGCATGCAAGACCTCAGCTGGTTTTAGCAATTTGTATCCAGAGACAAAGTAGCAATTTATGGAATAAATTTTCAATGATGTGCACACAGCCACTTAGATTGCAATTCTCATTAACCATTATGGGAAATGTGCATCTCATTCCCTGCACACCCTGCTGAATGCTTTCTCTGTACATCTCTAGAGCAAATAATTAGCTTAGAACTGCTCAGTGACTAAGTGACTGCACTGTAATTTTTATCTAGTTACACATTACATAAAATTAACTCATTGCACATGCAGACATAGTAGGAGAAGACATTTCATTGAATACCCTTGTTCACTCATGAAACATCACTGAAGTGGTCATATAGGCCTAGGTATGCATAAGGATGAATTCACATCCAAAATTAAGTGCTATGCAGTGATTTTATGAGGAGATTTTAACCTGGCCTTAGCATAGATTCTGAAAACAGGCCAGGTTTATGTCATTTGAAATCGTTTGTGAGTCCAAATTAATAAATTACAGTTAATGATTTGTCCAGCCTATAAAAGTATGGGTCACATTCCTCTCTGGTGTTGAAATCTAACTGTGGTAATCAAACCCATTGATTCCAAAGTAGTTATACCAGGGATGAATGTGGTCCTGTGTCCATTTGATGCAGATGCACACCTTGGGCAAACTAGAGGGCTTCCAGAAAAAAAAAACCCACTGTTCAGTCAACGTCTACACTGCATGGTGGGTTTTTTTTGCATAAGATATGCAAATGGAGTGCTCATTTGCATATCTCACACTCTCATTTGCATATCCTCTTCCGATCCTTTTTGCGGAAGAGGTTTTTGCGCTTAAAAAGCCTTGTGTCAGTGGGGCCATTTGTCAGAAAAATAGGGAAAAAAACCCTTTTGCACAAGAGCCTTTATTCCTCAAAAAACGAGGTTTACAGACTATCCCATCCCAGCACCCTGCATCCTCTCCCACACTCCAACTGCCTGCCCCAGTCCAGAGCCAGCACCTAAACTCCCTTCCACAGCCAGCACCCCCCACTCTCATCCCAACCCTATGCCCCAGCCTGCTGCAAATGAGTGAGGGTGAGGAAGAGCAAGTGACAGATGTAGAGGGCATTGGATAAGGGGTAGGATGTAAGCATGGCCTGAAGGAAGTGCCAGGGCAGAGGCTGGGTAAGGGTCTTTGGGTCTGCACAATTGCACAGTCGGTAACCCTACCGGAGGGGGGGGCGGTATGTGGGCTCATGCAATGGAAGAGTGCACTGGCCAGTGCTGCACTGTCCAAATGAAGGTGGACTGCATCCGCATGGGTGTGGCTTGTGCATGTGCATGGGCTCGTTGGCTGCTCTTCCCTGGAGCCCAGAATTCTTGTTGGCAGGCCTGGCCTGAGTCCTCTCATCCCACCCAGAGATCTAAATTTCACAGAAGCAGAAAGATCCCACTGTTTAAGTATGTCCCAAGGTAGCTGGATAGAGGACACCTGGGCCCTACAAAGAGTGGGGATGATTGGAAGAGGAAGCAGGGAGAGATTCCCTGGAGAAGAGTGTAGAAGGGGAAATGGGGGTCAGTCTTTCCTTCTCTTTCTCAGGACTAGAAAGAAAGGAGCCTTGAGGATTAACAATTTATGGGGCACTGGCATCCAGAGGAGAAAGCCCTGGGAGGTACCATTCTTCGGTAAGACAAGCAGAAAAAGGACAGTGCTGAGCTAGAGTAGGGGTGAAGCATCTCCCATGGATTTTTTCCCCCGTTATGTTTGATTTTGGAGATCGAATTAAAAGAGGAGCCAAGTGGAGCAGCAGACTTTTTATTGCTCTTAATTTTTTGGGGTAGTTGATTTTTAATTTTAGGATGAAATTTATACCACTAAAACAAGCCCAGGGAAAGCATTATTGTCACAAATTATGGCATCCCTGTTGAAGGGGGAAACTGAGGTGGCATCAGCTAGTAGTGCTGTGGATGGTTGCATGGAGGCACCTGCATGCAGAAGGACATATACATATATCAGGGTGTTATCTGAAGTATTGACTAGTTAAAATAGTGGTGTAGACAGTTTTGAAATAAGTTTGTATTTTTTTGTGCTAAGGTTAATGGGAAACTCCTTTCTTGGTTTTAACTCAGTCCTATGACTTTTGCTGAGGAATCCTGACTTTGCTCACTCTTTTGCAGTCAACATATGGGACCTATGCAAGGGACTAGGTATGCTGAGCTACAGTTAACTTTTGGAATAAGTCCATCAGAAGTTATCAAAAGTCAAGTAATTATACTAACCCAGACAGTGACTTTATTTTTAATCACACTTCATTTGTAGGTGTGCTGCATACAGCAATAAAAAAGTGCTCTCTCCAACTTGTGATAATTCAGATGTGTGAATTTAATCTGCCATGCAGCAACTGTTTGGAGTCATTTTAAGGACAGATATTTGAGTTCTGTTCAGAGAAACATATGATTCATTGTCAGGTGAAATGCCAATAAAATTCTGTATATAACTATCTATATAGATGATTTTTTTTCCTGTGGGATGACAGTGTGATGTCATTCCTCGTCCCTCCTGTCACCCCCCTGGAGGTGTGGGGCAGGTGCCACAGGACCTCCCTCCTCCCTGGTACTCTGGATGGGTGGTAGATATGCTCCTTCACCCCCTGGGAGAGGGGAGCTGTGCATCCTCCCCCCTCCTGTCTTCCGGGGAGGCTGGAACCATGCAGCCTCCCTCCCCATCCCTGCACCCCCATCCCTGTCACACACCCCACAATCAATACCCCACACCCCAGCCCACTCATTCATACTCCCCAACCTGAGACCTTGCACCCCCAGCCTCCTCACACACCACCCTGCCAAGACCATGCACCCCTTCCACCTCCACCCTGACCAGACACCCTCCCTCCAACCTACTCTTGCATCCTCTTCCCAGCCAGCCATCTATCCCCAGAGAAAGCAGGGTTGGCGAGTGAAACAAGCAGGGGAGGAGGGGCGCAGCCCCCTAGTGCTCACTAAAATTAGTAAGTTACATATTTGGAAATCTATTCTTCCGGTAATGTTCTTATGTGTCTCATATTTAGTCACTTGATGTAAATATTACCTCATGCATTCTCTCTCTCTAATGTAGTTATTAGGGCACTTCATTGCACATCTACTCTACAGCACTCTCTCTCTTCCCTTAGGCCTCTTTGAAGGCTCTCTGTTAGCTTAGGGCTTATGTGTGTTCATGGAAATTTAGGCATCAAGGAGGAAGGTGTGGAGCCAGAAAACATCTGTACTTTTTGGTGCACTTCTATCTAGAACCTAAAGATATTTGAGCAGGGAGTAATGTATTTCAACTTGAAGAAATGAGAAAAGAACAGTTCCATTATGCACAGGATTTCAGTGGTTCAATGTTTTAAAATCTGGCAAGCCTCATGCCTAACTCATACAATCGGAACAGAATTGTGAACCTTTTGAATCATGAGGTCCTGGGACAGTCAGCCTGGTTGGCTGCCCTGGGGCTGCAGACCCCAGAAATACTGTGATCCCAAGAAGCCCAGTGGGATAGGTGACAAACTGGAGAGATTCTGAAAGCTGTCTGGCAGTCAGACTTCTATTTACCTATCTGGGAAACATAATCAAATACTGTCAAGATCCATGTTGATAAGAAGAGGGAGAGCTAGAATGGCTGCATCATGGGACTTGATAATAGCATGGAAGATGGATTTTTCTTTGGAGAGTCTATTATTAGTTTATTAATACCTGAAACTTTTCTTATATTCTCCATATGCTGTAATTATGATTGCTAAATGTACAAATGCATAATCTAGTCCTCTTTTCCTATCTTCTTATATTTAACACAAGTAAACTGAAATAAGACCGTGTACTTACACTTCATGTATTTGATATTCTCCTTATATTAAAATGTATGATTGTCAAATGATAAACTACTTTCCAAATGAAGGAGGTTGGCGGTGGCAGGGAAAGGAAGGGTGCTAACTAGACATTCCCTGTAAAAGCTGCCAGTGCTAGGGAAAAGACCCTACAGCTGAGACTATTTAAAAGCAGAAATTAGAGGCATCAGAGAAATCACTGCTTCCTTAAAAAGGGAGAGCTACTTTAGATAGAAAAAAGCTTTATCTTGAAGTCCAAACAGTAGGTGAAGTCACTTGGTACTAGCTCTTGATTGCTTTCTTCCTGGATTAAATGCACTTGTACATTTCATGCTTCCTTCATAACCACAGACTATTGAAGGGGATTCTTTGAAGACAGAGGAAACACCACAGTTCTAAAAAGGCCATTACTGGTAAGTTGATGGATTTTAGGATTTGTTGAACTGGACAACGTCTGCAAGGCATGTGATCTGTTCATATTGTATAGTATTGTTGAAGAATTGTAATGAGAAAACTGTTTATTTTGGGTACGCCTACACACAGGGCTATTTCGGGATACTAAAAGTATCCCAAAATAGCTACCCCACATCTTTTGAACATGCCCGCTATTTTGAGATAGGTCTTGAAATAACAGATGTGCTGTTTTGGCATCCCTATAACCCTCATTCCACAAGAGATAAGGGATGTCTCAAAATAGCATGTTATTTCAAAATTTGGCACTGTGTAGACAAGCCAAATTTCTAAATACGCTATTTCAAATTTCGGTCGAAATAAGATACGCAATTTGCATAGCACAAATTGCATATTTTATTTTCAGTTTAGGTGCTGTGTAAACACAGTCTGTATGATGCTTGTTTTTTTTAAGGCTGTCAGCTTTGCCTTTATCACAAGTCCTCCCTTGCATTCTGTACAAACCAAAATTCTTATGTAACTTAATGGGAGATTTTAAGTGCTCAGTGCTTCAGATTGTGCACTTTTTTTAACTGCATACCACAGATCTCTAGTTATCTTTAATTCAATAGCTAGTCTTATGAAATAAAATAATAAAGCACTTGCTGGAAATAAATTAAGAGGTAGATTACTACAAATAAAAGCATGTGATCTTAGCATAGCATTTCAAATCAGTTGTAGTGCAGTTTTAGGATTGATAAAGTTAGTACTCAAGACATGCTCTGTCTTTCATTAACATGAATCAAGTAGAGTAAACTAATTTTATTCTAAGCATTCCCATAGGCTATGTCTACACTGGCCCCTTTTCCGAAAGGGGCATGCTAATTTTACAGGTCGTAATAGGGAAATCTGTGGGGGATTTAAATATCCCCCGCGGCATTTAAATAAAAATGTCCGCCGCTTTTTTCCGGCTTTTAGAAAAGCCGGAAAAGAGCATCTACACTGGCCCCGATCCTCCAGAAAAAAGCCCTTTTCCGGAGGATCTCTTATTCCTGAAGTAGGAATTGAAGTAGGAATAAGAGATCCTCCGGAAAAGGGCTTTTTTCTGGAGGATCGGGGCCAGTGTAGATGCTCTTTTCCGGCTTTTCTAAAAGCCGGAAAAAAGCGGCGGACATTTTTATTTAAATGCCGCGGGGGATATTTAAATCCCCCACAGATTTCCCTATTACGACCTGTAAAATTAGCATGCCCCTTTCGGAAAAGGGGCCAGTGTAGACGCAGCCATAATGTTTAATTTAAGGACAACCCTGCTTGCAATCTGAATATACTACTTTCGCAACAAAATAAGAAAAGGATAGCTAACTTTCTAAAATTAATTTATCAAACCATTAGACTAATGGAATTTAGAGCATTGAAAAAAGCAAAGCTACATTTGTGCTAATGCATTTTTTCTGTAAGGAAGTGAATTTCTGAGGCAAGAAATTGGAGTTGGGAAAGTGCAGTAAGACCAATCTTTTCTGAACAGTGAGCTAAATTTACTCACTTGATGAATTCATTGTGTTCTCTGATCTCTGACAATTCTATCATTCAGAGGTAAATTTCCAGAATATGGTATATTATATAAATAGGTCAAATATTAAACTCCCTCTACCTATTTAAACATGGAAATGCATCTAATCTGCACATACATTAAAAGTAAAATTGACAATTAATGCTATGAGATGGCTAATTTTTCCTTTTGTTTATTATTTTGACACAACTGCTATTTTGGTACTTACTAGTACTAAATCCCCAGGTGCCTCGTGTACACCAATATGCTATTTTTGTTTGATAATGTTAGTTTTGAAGAATGCAAAAGATGTACCAACATATGTATTGTATGTAACTCTTGGCAACAACAACAACAAAAGATACATTCATATGTTTAACATATTTTTCACACATTGTTGGGGTTTCAGGTCTTTAATCTGGAATGCATCTTCAAATGGTAAGAACTTGATTGCACCATGTAGTGTAGGAACAGATTAATAATGAATACACTCCTAACTTGGAGTTCCTCTATCTTCATTCTAGTTTCCTTTTCACTACTTCCTAATCCCCTCTAGGTATTATATTTCTGGGTGTTTTATGTTCTGAATGTTAACAACTCTTAACTTATCTGAGTACTTCCACTTGATTTCTGTGAGACTACTTGAGAAAAGTTATTCACATAATGTACTGTCTACATCTGGGCCCATTATCATTCCTGGACCACCAACTGTAGTATGAAAATCTTTTCAGAACAGAGTTCTCATTAATTTCTAGGCATTTCTGTTTCCATTTCTAAGTGGAAAAGATTTCTCTCTGTATTTTGGACATCTGGTTATAGTCTTGGGAAGAATCTGAATATAAAATTCATTTCATGAACTACCAATCCAAAGGAAAGGGCTGGTTCCAAAAATCAGACAAATTGAGGTAGGGAAAAGTGTCTATTTTACCTTACATTGTTTCCTCACCTTTATAAAGAATAGCTTTGTTAGAGAATTAAGGAAATATTATTATGATTTATTGAAGTAATTGTTGTTAGTATTTTTGTAATTGTAGAAATTTTACTATTGTAAATTGCATTATAGGTTTGTTTGTTTTTTTCATATTAGCCCCAATCCACCGCATTATAAGAGTTATTTCTAGTACTTAAGTGACAAACGGGTGTAGTTCATTGTGGGGAAAGTCTGACTTGTCTACACCTGTTTATTTCCTGAATAAGAATGAGAAGCCTAAATACTCATTTATTTATTGAATGAAAAGTTTAGAAAAAACTTTTATTTAATTTCTGATTAGTTCAAGATTGAACTTCATTCACGTGAGCAGACAAAGTGCCTCACGGAAACTGCAGTTTATTCATGCCCCAGTTCTCCTCAATGGGTTGACTGGAACTTTGCACATTTCAGGGATGGGGGTGGATGAGGCACCTGAAGTAGAATTCCCATGAATCACCAATGCAAAAATTGGAATGGGAATGAAGTCATGGTTAAAATTAAGGATCCAGAAGGACACACTAGGCATAGAACCCTATATGATGTTGACTGCTCTAGCAATTAACAGCTTAATTAACAACAACTGTCATGGATGCAACTGACTATCAAAGGGATCCAAACTGAAACGTCATTCTGTATTTTCTGAAACTGAATATTTCATCTGACACAAAATTCCTGACACAAAAATTGAAAAACTACAGCAAAATAAAAAATGATCCGTGGAAAACTTTTATTTTATGAAAAAGATATTTCGTTATCTCATATAAGCCCTCCAAATAATTGCTTCTCTTTTTTTTTATTTCTGAACCTTCATGCAGTAGTAGCTTGGGAATCAGAAAACGTAAGTCTGAATGTAGGCCTGGGTAGTTCAATGAAAAAACTAGATTAAAAGAATCCTTTAAATATGTTTTTAGTTGACTTCTCCATAGTTCTATTCATTTTTTACAGAAGTTCTAATGTCTCCTATTAGACCATACCATCGTTAATTTTTAATCACATTTTTAAAGTGAAGTGCTGCTGCATATAAGCCCTGGAATACATTTTCACTTACCCATAAATGAATAAGACTTTATTTTTAATACCATTTATTTCCTTTCTGTTGAATCACAATAAAAGAGCAGTACTTATATTATGATGCTATTACTGTTAGGAGTTAGTCTTCTCCTGGGTCTTCCTTGTTAGTATGAAATATAAAAATGCAGGATAAGCTTCCAAAAGGCATATACCACTGCAAGAGTATGTAAGAATATGTATCACTGCAATGAATTAAAATAATGAAAGTATAGAGAATGTAAACAACAATGAGGGTTTGATCCCTAGCTTATCAAAGCCAATGGCAAGATTGTCAGTCCTGGTCTACACTTCATTGGATGGTTAAAGTAAGATATTGAACCCCATCTGCGTAAATTATGTAGCTGGAGTCGTTGTATCTTACATTGAGTTTTTGCAACGTCCATACAATGGGAAGCCGAAGGGAGTAAATGCCTGCATCAGCTTCTTATGAGAAGCAGGAGTACCAACGGCAATGGGGGTGTCCTTTGAGTTTGGGCAGGAGCGTGAAGGTGTTGGGAAGGATGGGGTAATGAAGCTCCCTCCAAGATTCATACCAGGGCAGCTTGCTCTTCCCCGTTAATGTCAAGAAGCAAAGCGCACAGCTCATCTGGCACCTGCACTGCCCTGTCAGAGTGAAGAATGCAGCAAACTGTGCATTTTCCCCTCACCCCCGATGAAGGGGACCACCAGAAATGTCCCCATATCAATCTGAGGGGGGGGGGAACCTCAGCCTCATCCCCCTGCATTCCCTAATGGGTGTTTGGGGGTTAGAGGCATCGGAATGGGGCAGTCCTGGATGTGGAGGTTTTCCCCAGCCAATCCCTTTCAGCTGCCCGGTGATTGTCTTTTTTTTTCTGTTTGATTTTATGAGAAGTTATCCCATTCCAAGCACATTCTGTTTCCCTGGCACAACCAAACTCTGACCTTGCTTTAAGGTATTATAAGAGGAAGTTGTATACTCAGTTTGGTGGTCCTAGCTCTTGCCGTTTAGGAGGAGTTCTTGAATAAACAGATCAATAGATGGATAGACAGACTCGCTCACTTGCTTACTCATAGACAAACTTTCTCAAAAACATAGTGTATATATATATAATTACAAACCAATAACTACATTAAAAGAACATTAAGGTTGCAAAATCAGCACTCAAGAGTTAGGAAACTCTTGTGTATACAGTGAGATTGAAACTTCAGCATAGTCTAGACAAGCCCTTATAGACAGAAAGACAGACAAACTCACTTAGGCTGTGTCTACATTGGCATCCCCTTCCGGAAAAGGGATGCTAATGAGACACTTCGGAATTGCAAATCCGCGGAGGATTTAAATATCCCCCGCGGCATTTGCATTTACATGGACTCACTTAGGCTCTGTGTACATTGGCATCCCCTTCCGGAAAAGGGATGCTAATGAGACACTTCGGAATTGCAAATCCGCGGAGGATTTAAATATCCCCCGCGGCATTTGTATTTACATGGCTGCCGCTTTTTTCCGGCTCGGGGTTTTTG